ATCCAAATTAAACTCTAGATTATTGACAAAACCGAGGGTAAAAACACACTAATTTTGTATGTTATAAATGGGATAAAAAACTACTTATATAGGTAGTTAATCAACAATTATGTTAGCCGAATAGGTAGCGATTTGAGTATAAGAACAGCTACCAACGACAACCATCAATGGATTTTGTGTTGGAAAATAGTAGCACGAGATCAAACTTGTGTGTAAAGAAAGTTAGCCTTCTAAATATTTTCTTTTTAAAGTTAGATTTCTTAATATTAGAAGGCCTTCTGAAATCTTGCATTTTTATGAAGCCTTAACCTTTCTATCAAGCTTATTTTCAGATTGAGTCATATCCTTCTGAAGTTCACTTTACTTGGTCCATATCGGTTAGGTGCCTTCAAATCCCACAAGGGGGTGCAATTTCTTTGACTCCAGTTCTATGGCGATCTTAGGTTTTACGTTAGATTATCTGAGTGCAACTCCCACATCTTAATTCATATTACAAGTTGACTAAAACTCCGTCGACCTCTTATCAGTCACAACTTCACCAACAAGTCTAAACACATTTTAAACATCATAGTTGTAACTCTTCCATGATCTTTAAATGATTACATCCAGCGGTATGCAAACAATGGTCATGAAAATTTGGTGAATGTGCCCAACTTGCCTCATTTCTGAGCATGACACACTTGTCATGCCTTTAACGTAGCCTCTTGAAACCTCAGTTTTAGTGTGTAATCAATGATCCTTCACATAAATTATGTGTAAATGAAAACCATGTTAACGCGTCACATGCATCAAAATTATATTTTTTCTAACATAGCTCGAACATAAATATCGTTGCGTAAAGAAGTCATGAATTTGATTTTGCATGCAAGGCTTAAAATATCATGTGAAACTCATGTGTGATTGTTGGTCATAGAATGCTTCTGATCATATGTGATTGTCGATCATAGATACTATCCTAACAACACTACAAACGTGTTCCAACACATTTCCAATCGATCGGTTGACTTCCGCATGAAAGACATTTATCTAATCTATGCTAAAGGAATCACTCAACTTATTTTGAAGGATCGCTTTAAAAAAAAAGACCATTGGAAGGACGCTCACTGGAAAAACCGTTCCATACAGATGGAGCAATCCATGCCATTAATAATGGAGCCATTTGATTAATTTAATTATTTTCTTTAATTAATTAATTTAACTGATATTTTAATTAATTACAAAATAAATGAATTAATTTAACTAATCGCTTTTAATTATCGTTTCCATTTAATTATTGTTGTTTTTGAAAATATTGTTTTTCAATTTTCCTTTATTTTCGTAATTTTTTATGATTATACTTTTACACCTTTATACATAGAAGATTTATTAAAAATGATTTTAGTTATCGCAACTTTTATTTTAGTTTCTAATTATAATAAATAATTTTTTTAATTATAATAAGTACATTTTTAATTGTTATAGTTTTTTTTTATTATAAAAGACTTATAAAATATATATGATGAGGATAAAAGGCTTATGAAATACTAGAATGATACTCGTGCAATGCAGCGAGATACATATTGATTTTAATATCATTTTATTCTTTATTTTAGTCGATATAATATGGTCTTATGTGATTTTGAAAAAATGATGATTTTATTTTTATTTTTTTCAATAAAATATAAATTTGAAGATATCATAAAAATTTGACAAAAATATATCGATATTATTATCAAGTTAACTATTTAAAAATTCCTATTTTTTGTGTAATTTTTCAATTCAATTTTGTTTATTATAATTTAATTTAGGTTCAATAACGAAGTAATTTATATTTAGTTTAATAATATTCTTATAAAAATAATAGTAATTTATTTTGTTAGAACTCGATAATTATCCTAATTATATTTAAAAATTTTTATATTTTAAAATAAGATGTTTATTCTCTATTTGAATTTGTTTATCCGCTGTTAGTTAGACGAATTCAAAAAATGGAGCTTTAATAAATTGTATTTATGCATAATTTATTTGTGATTTTGAATTTTAAGTAATAAACATCAATATACAGTACTTCATGCATAAAAAATAGTTTTTAAGAATTTTTGTTAAATGCTTTATAACATAATATAGATACATGAACGAAAAATCTGATATAACAGAAAAAGAAATCTGATATGATAAAGTGTAACATCCTAAGCATCACTTGTACTATTAAATCATTTAAATAGTTTAATCATTGTCAATCGCTACATTGATACTTCCGTGAACATTTATATTCACATTTTCAACAACTACAACTAATTAAATCCTATATTCGTTGTCGTTGCCCATGGGGACTGTCCACCAACAACGGCCTTCTGGTTACTATCACGCCTGACTTATTGCAGTTCTTAAAGTTTATTAAAATAAGGCTCGAGGTTTATATGTAAGAGATTTACTAAAAGTCGTTGCTTGATATCGATAAGACATAGAAACTTCTCGATCTCGATCTGCTTCTTTGTTCAATGCTTTTCCTCAAAACTTTCTTTAGTGTTTTTGTATTATTGTGTAACTTATAGAACTAGACCGAGGACTGCTCTATTTATATATGGTTTCAGTCGTGATATCGGTTTACTTGTTTTTCAAATGAAAAATAAAAAATATTTTGAAAGGTTGTTACACTTGGTCTATACCCTTAATTTTGTTTGAACATTAATATCCATCCATTGGTTACACTACAACAAAATCGGGTTTATAGAACACTCTCAATTTCTAAGCGTCATAATAGACCTCTTTATAAGACTTAGTTTACATGACCACAAAAATAAATTGTCCTATTTAAAGGTGTTGTAATAAGTTTATATGACGCTTTTGAACGTCTTACAAGTTTTTTAAAACATTTTTAATACAAAGTGTCGCATTAGCAATTTTATAGGACACTTTTGAGAAAGTGTCCTATAAATTCAATTTTTTATAAGACATTTGTTTTTATAGGACAGTTTTTCAAATAGTATCCTATAAAGTTGCTAATTGGACGTTTTATATTAAAAGTGTCCTAAAAAGCTTATACGATGTCAAAAAACGTCATATAAACTTATTACAACATCTTTATATAGGACGCTTTATTTTTTTGGTCATACTAAGTCTTATAAAGAGGTTTATTATGACGCTTAGAAATTAGGAGTATCCGATAAACCCTGATTTTGTTGTAGTGTTAATACTCTAAAAATATACAACGATTCTTTATTTTGCTCAAATAATCTTTAAAAAAACAACGATTGTTCACGACAAATGTATCAAATTATTAAAGGGAAAAGTAAAAAAAAAAAATCCAGCGCACTATCTCATTTTGAATGATTAAGTTTTTAAACTATTTTTTTAAATGAAAAGATCATTAAATTTTTTCAGTTTGAATAATCAAGTCCTGAATTATGTTTTTAGATGAAAGAATATTAAACATTTTCATTTTGAATGATTAAGTCCTTAAACATTCTCTTGGAATAAATAAACCACCAAACTTCTAAAAATTGATTATCTGCGCCTTTAAAAAAAATAAGCTACCCATAACCAGTGATGGCCAAAAACCGGTCCCCGGCCGGGCCTAATCAGTCTCAAGCTTTCTCATAACCGGCCATAATCGATTCTGGTCGAAAATGGTGAACCGGTCAAGGTACTTCATAACCGGTTACGAGCCGCCGGTCCTGGTCCCAACCGGTCCCGGCATTAAAAAATAAGATTTTTAAATTTTTTTAATGATATATATTTTTAATACATTATAAAATTTACAATTAGGTCACTCAAATACACTTTAAAAATGCGTTTTAATATAATTAAAATTACATTGTTTTATAAAAATACATTATAAAATTATTTAAAAATAAATTTATTTAAAAAATTATTTGAATTTTCAGGCCGGGCCGGTCCATAGCCTGTCCCATAACCGGTCTCGGTCCCACGAAACTACCAAAAACCCCCAACCGGTCCCGGTTTTCGGTCCCATAACCGGTCCTTACCAGTCCCGGGTCAGGCCGGTCCTTTGGCGGTCCTAGTCCTCTGACGGTCCCAAACCAGGCCGGACTGATTTAGCCATCACTACCCGTAACTGACGAGAGTGGTTGCAACTTCTTACTGCGTACATACATACATACAAGTAATAATAAACGACATAGTTGTTTGGTCCAAATGTATGCCATGATATGAACATTGAGATCTTTTCAATTTAGTTAATCAATTAAGAATGATGACTAAAAAGGGAAAATGATGGGATTTTATATCATGGTCCATTACTACTTACTACTTACTAGAACGTGGCTGGACCACATACCTATGGATGATGTTGGCCGATGGTTCGTCCGTGAACATCCTTTATTTTGACTTGTTAAACCGGTTTTGACATCTAAATCAACCACACAAAACCCGGTTTATGATATGTAAGTGAACCAAACAAAACCTGAAGAACAAGTAGCAAAATAAATCATACGAAAACGGAAAACAACAACTTAACTGACAGATAACGGTTAAATATTTAGGCTATTTTCAATATATTTCTAGTTCGAATCATCTCAGATCATTAGAGATTTTTCTGACTGTTATTTTTAAGATCTCATGTGATTACTCGACGTACCTGTAAACTGACCCGGATATCCACAAAATACGATCACCTGAAATATATGTTCATAGAAAACTATACACCAAAAGATTTGGATTAAATCAGAACACCCGTTCTCATTTGACAAATATGACCACTTTTTTTTATTAATCTAGATATCCGATCCATTATAAGAACCAACTAATCTCATGACGACCACCCGCTTCACGGGTACCTCGAAATTACCACATTTGTGGCTACAAAAAGATTTTTATTTCTTCTTGAATTCAAACCTGAGACCTTCAAACACTTTTAACCTTTAAAACACAAACTCAAACCAAGTTTGACACCACCTCTCTGGTTCAAATACTACCACTTTTGACATGCACTCTTTAACATATTTATTATTATTAGACTAATCTGCTACTTTAAATTACTTAAGGACAGAATTCTGTTTGCAAGTAAAATGTCGAAAATACCCCCCCACATTATAATTAATTACCAAACCTACTTTTAGTACATATTGGAGATCTTTTCAAGTAACCCTCTTGAACCCACAGTTGGGTTGGGTACATCATTTTCATCCCAACGTTTAACGTCGTCTAAGGGTATTATAGTCATTTCAGATGTATATTTTCAAACCATATGTTTCTGGGTTGACATATCTTCTAACGCCACGTCATCTTTTTCATCTCCAGTTCCTTTATATTTATACCATTTTGCCACCATCAAATAGTACATAAAGTTGAGCACCTCCAACCCCATGCACAAGTAATAGAAGTTATCCAACTTCGCCTCGTTCAAATCCTCGGCCAACCAATTCGTCGTCGACCCAACTTCACGAGTCGTTCTATGAACCACCGATATCATGAAACTACTCAAATAACTCGACATCGCCATCCCGCAAAACAAGAACGCCCCCGCGAAACTCCTCATGTTTTCCGGAAACTGTTTGTAGAAAAACTCAACAAACCCGATTATCGCAAACCCTTCCGAGAGGCCCGCGACCGCCAATTGAAGTATCAGCCAATACCCCGACATCGATGAAATCGCTCCTTTCCCCCTCACCGACCCGAGCGTCGGTTTTGCATGTGCCAAGTCTCTTCTTTTCGTCTCGACTAAGGCAGCAACAAGCATCGTCAAAATGGCGATGCCTGCTCCGACTCCGATCCTTTGGAGGACCGAAATTCCTTGTTTTTTGTTTGTTATTTTCCGGAGACATGGAACGAGCAATCGGTCGTAGATTGGGATCCAGACCGTGAGTGCTAGCATTTGGAAGACGGTGTAGGAGGCTGCTGGAATCTGGAAGGTGCCGGACCCGAGTCGACGGTCGGATTGTAGGGCTTGGAAGACTGTGTAGGTTTGCATTTGGTGGAGTGAAACATTGTAGATTATGCAAGCAAGCCAAATTGGAACAGTTCTGATCACACATTTCACTTCTTCTACTTGTTGTATACTACAAAGCGTCCAACGGTTTCCTGACGATCCGTCGGGGTTAATTTTGTCGTTTTCTGTCTTAATTGCGGCTTTATTCAGAAACCTGTTGTAAAATTGTAACACGATCAAAATATAATTTCACATCACGTCATATTTCATACAACTTATTATAACACTTTTATATAAGACGCATGATTGCTTATTTTTATAAGTAATTTGTTAGCACATAATTTAACGTTTGTTTTTTTTACTTTTAGTACCTGAATTGTTTGCTGTAAGGAAGTTTTGAGTTGATCGATTTGGTGGAAACATGATTGAATAGGGAGACTGACGGTTCCTGAGGAACCGTCAATCCCCTCTTCTTGATGGTGGCCGTGAGGACTTGAAAAATGCTCGTCAAAGGGCTGCCGTCAGGCAACACTTTGACGTAAATTCTGGTGCCCGCAAAGAAGACGGCACACGAGAGGAACATAAGGAACGTCGGGATGGCTAATCCGAGGGCCCAATTAACATCCGCTTGCACGTAAACGATGACAGTCAACGATACCATCATGGCAAACGTGAAGGTGAAGTAGTACCAGTTAAAGAAGCTAGCAATTCCCGCTTGGCCGGATTCAGTTTTGGGGTTAAACTGGTCTGCACCAAAGGCTAAGTTACATGGCCGGATGCCACTAGCTCCGGCGATTAGAAACCCAAAACCGGTCAACAAAAAAGCCATTTGCCACGGCGTCGGTCCGATGCAGGGGACACCGTCTACACAATGAGGAGGATGAAGCTTTGAGACTGCTGCCGTTAACGTTAGCACAAGCATCCCCTGAATTAAACTAAAAATTACGAATTTACTATAATAAAAGTAAACCTTGAAATAAAAGCTAAAGATTCGTACCATGAAAGATGAAATGGAAGCGAAACCTAAGACCTTGTATCGGCCGAAATACGTGTCGGAAAGAAAAGCTCCGACAAGGGTACCGAAGTTGCAAGTACCGGCGAATACGTTGATGAGATTAATAGCGTCTATCGACTTCATGTTGAATACCGTAGTTAGATACACCAGTAGATTTGTTGACGTCCCAATCGTTCCAAGCTTTTCAAACGTCTCGTTTCCTAAATAAGATTCAAAACCATATATAAGATTTGTTTTCTTACGTTAATTCATTAATTAACATAACTTTGTTAAACCTTGATTGGTTGATACATAAATATAAAATAAGCATTTCAGCTGAACAGATTACTAACAACTTAATGATTAAGGATGCGCGACCCATGACCTACAGCTTATTACCATATAATAAGCACATCAAATGCCATCAAACTAAATGTTTGAAATTGAGCTCAGCAAGCACACAACTTCGAGAATCTCTTTCTATATGCATTAACACATGTATTTCGTGCATTAAATGTATCGCAAAGGTATGAACATATGTGGGTGTGGGTGTATATATACAGATAGATAGATATATGTGTGTGTGTATGGTATATATAATTAGTGCAAGTGTATATATATACCTATAACAAAGGGCATGGCTTTGACTCCTCTGTAGTTGAGCTGTTTGAGTTCTTCCCCTTTCTCATCTCCATTCTCCATAGTTTCTACCTTCTTATCCATTACTTCCCTCTATCTATCTATGTATATATATGTATATATATATATACAAATTTATATATGTATAGGTAGTATGTACAGAAGTGGACAAATGTTTGAGTTCTTGGCTACCATTGATGTTGTTATATATAAAAGGGAAGAGGGTAATGGCAGCATTTATAGAACACAAGAACACGGACGCACCCGGATGATTAGAGGTGGTGAGTGGGGTCCACCCTCCAAAGACATAAGGCAGAGGCCACACCGCAGACTGTGTGGACTGTGCTTGTCAATAATTTTCATTTAATACCCCAAACTTTTTAACAATTTTTCAAAACAATCCCCAACAATGAAATAAAAAAATATTTGTCTACGGAAACGAAATGGAAGCTTGTAATCATTATGATGGGTAAATTTGTAATTTCATATTATGTTATAGAAATATAACCATTTTATTTTTTTATTAACCTGGATATCCTACCCGCTATGCAAGCGCGACTAATCTCAGGATGACCACCTGCTTTGCGGATAGTTCGAAGTCATCACATTTGAACCTCCGTGGTCACAACGGGACTTTTTTATTTCTTCTTGGATTCAAACTTGGGACTTCCAGACATTTTTGATCTTTGAAGCCCAAACTCAAACTAATCAAACACCACTCTTATAAAATTATGATTAAAATGAGACACTACCCTTATGATTACAATAGAACCATTAAAGATGTGGGACAAAAAGGGTACATTTAATTTCACGTGCTATGTCTCAATTCTTGCACACGTAGGGCATAACATTTTTTAATTGGAATAAAAAGTAGTCTTTCAAACTATGCTAAACATTTCAAATAGTCCATTGCACTACCAAAACCTAAAACAATATGGTTATATTATATATATATATATATATATATATATATATAAATCAATCTTAACCGTCTGTTCAATATAATAAATATCTTAATTATTTTTTAATATAAAATGTTGATTATAATAA